GTAGGAAAAACTGTCTCCTGCCCTGCATCTGGGAGTATGCCATCATCACAATGTAGAATCTGACAACCACCAACAGTGGAAGAGAGAATAGTTGAACAGTTCAGCAGGTCCACACCACATGCATGCAGCTAGAGCCTTGCGTCTATTTACAGATAATCAAACTCCCTGAGGTCTTCATACATGGACTAAAGCAGGTTTCAGACAGGCTACATGGTGTTCTGGGGCCTGCTGTTCTATAATACACAGTACAGAAAATCACGGTTAAAGATCCAACTCCACCAGCTCCTTTTGTACTTGCTTAGAGGAGGTAATTGTAGCTTGGACCCTTACTCGCTAATATGTGGCCCGTGCATCACATGACAGCTGAATGTCAGAACGCATACTGCCAGCAATATCAATGAAATGTCTTTGTGAACTCTACGACCTTACAATTCAAACCGGATATTACACCAGCAGCATTCACTGTTTTACAATACATTTTTCACTACATTTCATTTCAGTTCAGTACGTTTATTCAGCCTGTCTAGACTCCAGGTGGAAGAGAAAACTATTACAAAAAGTTTAAACCATCCAGCAGAGTGACAGTTGCTTCAATTACAACAATCTTCCTGATCTAACATAGTATACCTTTTCAGTACTTTAAAAAATATCGAAAATCAGACACTAATCAATACTAAGACTAGTTTTGAAACTAGAACTCATATAAGCAGGTTTCAATACTAAAAAAGGCACATTCACAAGACAGAAATGAACCTTTTGTGAATAGCTTTAGAACAGGGTGCTCACACTTTTTCAGCATGCGAGCTACTTACAAAATGACCAAGTCATGATGATCTACCTAATACAGAGTCAAGCAAACTGCACTGAAACACTCTGTGCCCCTTTTTTGGACCCTCACCCACAGTTTGAGAACCTCTTCTTTAAGAGAACTTCCTCTGGCACTTTACACAAAACTATGAAAAAAGTGAATGAAGTAGGTAAGATTTTTAAACCTGTTTTTTAAAGTTCCAAACTGGAGTTGCATTCTTTTCTGGTTTTGCAGTGATTTACCAGCCTCTGCACGTTTACCAAACTAAACGCACATCGTGACAAACACAGATGCATTTGTGCACTTTTGTTAGTCAAACTTCAGCCAAATGTGGCAGTAGGTCTGTTCTGTAGATCTGCTCTATGCTGTAGACCTGCTTTGTGCCAACACTGTAACACAATTTAGACTCGTTTTTGAGCAAACGTGAAGTTTGGTCTTGCTCTTCTAATCAGCAGCACTGTGGGAGGGGCTTGTGTTCCCTGTACACAGGAAGGAGCGAGAGCGTGAAAAGGCGAGGGCGGCGTGCTGACGTGAGGCAGATGGACAGGTAGGATGTTTAGGAAGTTGAACCTGCCCTGTGATGCACGAAACTGGTACACGAGGGCACACGCTGTTGATGTTGATGATGGTGAGTCTATTCTCTGTGTGTCGTGTTGGTGATGGTTCATGTTTTCAGAGATCATGCGTGCAGGTTTAGTGCAACTCTTTATGTTGCAGTAACTAGGATACTGCATATACACGCACCATGACGAAACCTGGATACTGATGTGCATGTATACACATTCTTTGAGTGGTGTAGTGATCTCCAAGAAGATGCCAAAGCCAAAACATGGGACTGTGAGGCCGCAGCTTCGTGTCTATGCACAGAAACCTACATTCAGTTTGTCGATTAAAAATGAACATAATCGACGAAATTCTTAACGATCAACTATCGATTAATCGACTAATCATGCCCATTCCTACTGTACATCATCATGTTGCCTAGAATTCTTCTAAGACACAGGTGTCAAACATAAGGCCCGGGGACCGGATCCAGCCCTCCAAGACATTTAATGTGGCCCTCGGCTGATTTTCTACTAAAATATTTTAATTATATTTTCTATTAAAATATTGGTAATTTTCTGCGGTGCTTAGCATAGCAGCGTCTCCAGCGCCTCTGTACGTGGCCCCTCCCACCAGAGCAGCACAAATGAAGACTTGCCTCTTTCCAAACGCTCTTAAAGGACGATCGTTTTGACTGTTGACCGTGACTCCCTCATCAACAAAATGTCAAAAATGAGAAAAGTGGAGCCGAGTGCAGAATTTTCCAAGAAAAATTTACTTATTCCTGTTTACATACAAGTTCATGTTAAAACATTGTGTTTAAATTGCATTTTTCTTAAAGTTTCAGGTTGTTCATTATATATATATATATATATATATATATATATATATATATATATATATATATATATATATATATATATATATATATATATATATATATATACCAGGGGCTCAAGGAAGCGCTGGAGAGAGCCTGGAAAGTAAAGGCATCAGTGGTGCCTGTGGTGATCGGACACTCGGGGCTGTAACCCCCAAACTGGAAGAGTGGCTTCAACAGATACCGGGAAAAACAATGGACATCTCAGTCCAGAAAAGTGCAGTACTGGGAACAGCAAAGATACTGCGCAGAACTCTCAAGCTCCCAGGCTCCAGAGGACCCGAGCTGAATGAGGGTGAGAGAGACCTACCACCGTGGAAGGTGAGAAACACATTTATAAATTATAATTAAAATATATTTTGTAAAAGAAACAGTTAATCAGTTAAAAAAGATTTCTGTAATAGATTTGTGTTTCTCTGCACAAATATTTGAACTTATTGTTATTTTTGGGGTATATATGCCATGAGTTTTCTGATCCGGCCCCTTTGGGGTCAAAATAGGTTGGACTTGGCCCACGGACCAATATGAGTTTGACACCCCTGTTCTAAGACATTTGTTTGCATTGGTTTGAAATAGTTTCTCAATTTTTTATTCATTCATTATTTAGTGCAAGAGAAAACTGGCAAGATAATTTATCATGCTCTAGCAGCTTGCTCCATGAGAATACATGCCAAACCAATTTGTACTGCAGGAGGAGGCAAAAATATCTCTAAAGTTCATTTTCTCTCAGCATTTATCTGGTTGGTGGGAGGCGTGGGCGCTCTTCTCCGGTGATGAACGCTGTTGGGTGCACTGGTACACAGAAAACTGCAGACCATGTGGGAACAATGGAGAGGTGAGAGCACAGCAGGCTGCTTCACTCAACTCAGCATTTTGGGAAAGTGGAAATTAACTGTGCCATTAAGGAAAATTATGAAATAGGTCAAGTCAAAAGCACAGCCAGTGGTGTTCAAATTACAGCTATTATGACCACATTTTCCGAGGACACCTAACAATAAGAAAGATTTTGTTCAACTGATACTTTTTTGCTTGCTACTACAGTATTTAATCAGTGCAAATTCAGGCATAAATAAAAAGGAAATTAACAAAAAAACAAGTAAAGTCCTATTCTATTCATTTTAAGGTGACACCATAAAGTCTGCAATGGTACTACTACTACTACTAAACTACTACTACTACTACTACTACTACTACTACTACTACTACTACTACTACTACTACTACTACTACTACTACTACTACTACTACTACTACTACTACTACTACTACTACTACTACTACTACTACTACTACTACTACTACTACTACTACAATTACTACTACTACTACTACTACTACTACTACTACTACTACTACTACTACTACTACTACTACTACTACTACTACTACTACTACTACTACTACTACTACTACTACTACTACTACTACTACTACTACTACTACTACTACTACTACTACTACTACTACTACTACTACTACTACTACTACTACTACTACTACTACTACTACTACTACTACTACTACAATTTCTACTACTACTACTACTACTACTACTACTACTACTACTACTACTACTACTACTACTACTACTACTACTACTACTACTACTACTACTACTACTACTACTACTACTACTACTACTACTACTACTACTACTACTACTACTACTACTACTACTACTACTACTACTACTACTACTACTACTACTACTACTACTACTACTACTACTACTACTACTACTACTACTACTACTACTACTACTACTACTACTACTACTACTACTACTACTACTACTACTACTACTACTACTACTACTACTACTACTACTACTACTACTACTACTACTACTACTACTACTACTACTACTACTACTACTACTACTACTACTACTACTACTACTACTACTACTACTACTACTACTACTACTACTACTACAATTTCTACTACTACTACTACTACTACTACTACTACTACTACTACTACTACTACTACTACTACTACTACTACTACTACTACTACTACTACTACTACTACTACTACTACTACTACTACTACTACTACTACTACTACTACTACTACTACTACTACTACTACTACTACTACTACTACTACTACTACTACTACTACTACTACTACTACTACTACACAAAACTAAAATGCCACAATTATTAGGGATGGATCACAGACTCGATAAAGAAGTGGATTAAGTGGGTGTGATGTCACCCATAGCGTTTTGCTCTAGTCAAATGAAACTCACCAAGGCCAGCAGTTATGGGGGCAAATTTGGAGCCGAGTTCCATATTAGGAATAGCAAATTGACTTACAGAAAATATTTCAAAATAAAAACACAATGATCATATATAGTGGGTTAATACGAACATTTTAAGACCAAATAGAGGAGGCTGACAGCAACAGTTACAGAGAGAGGGGCAACGTGTTTTTTTCAATACAAAGTGAATTGTAACCGGAGTCGATGGAGCCAGAAGTTCACCCATACTCACTTCCTATTTGGAACCTGGCTATCAGGTTCTCTATGCCCGTTTATACTGTACATAGTATATGGGAACCAGTATAGATTTTTTGAGCCGTTGTGATATCTGATATTTGGTCCATTGTTGTGGCCATTAACCGAAATTTGCCGATATCGCCAAACTTGACAGTAAGGATCACGTGTATTTGAAGTTGAGTTAAGTACAGATCACAAAGTAGCCTTTCACTTTTGTAAAATAGACAGATATTATCAGATATATCATAACAGAATTGGCTTACCTGTGGCTGCGACAGACATTAAGCAGGATGATAATGAAGCCCAGACAGTAACACGCCACATATGGACTTCCAAACAGAGCTGTCAGTCTCCGTGTGCTGTGCTCCCATCTGGCCACCTGTCAACAACATTCACAGATCATTAGCAAGCCAGTTTAGTCATCAAATATTTTTCATTGTTCATAAGTTGAGAAGCAAGGCGGCAGTTGTAAAATCCAGACTTAATGAAGACTGTGAAGCAATATACTGCTTGAACCAGTCCCACACCAGAGATCAGAATAGCAATTTACATTTTTATTTTTTTTTGCATGTTTTCTGTTCACTGAAAAGTTAACATTTGCACTTCTCTCTCAAATCAGCCACTCAAAAAGGAAGCCAATTTCTCAAATACAGGCTAACCTTTATAACTTAATTCCACCTTGACTTCTCACCGGAATGTGTTTAAAGAGTGTGTCAGCTGATTCATACCCTTTGACTAGAGTGGGAAGTGAAAACTGTATACATGAGGCAACAAATGTTACTAAAGACACTACAAAAAACAGTTCAAAAGAAGAGGAGTGAAAGGCGGATTGGAGGCGGAATGAATGGTCAAATAAACCTTTCTAGGTGATCTTTACGTAACTTTTTGGTGGAGGGTCTGTCAAATGCTTTTCTCCATGGAGATGTTATTGCTTTGTCTGGAATCTTTCACTGTATGCCATTAAATCTTTCTATCTTCATGGAAACCACATCAAGTCAACTTTTTGAGCTATAAAAATAATAATTCTATAGATGGCCATTCGATAACTAACCAGTAGTCCATGGATGAATGATTGACTCCAAGAAATCTGACTTTTTGTCACTTTGCCTGAGATAATTCTTCATCATCAGGAGTCTTTCTCATAGCATTTGACGTCAATCTTGTATTATTTGACATGTGCTATCTAAGACACTCCCTCTCCTATTACAGTGCGTTTGTTATGTGTATTATAGGTCACCCTGCCCTTGGCCAGTTTTTCTTTTACGAACTGAGACTATAAAAAGTAAGTATGCATCAATACACTACAATACAATACGTTAAATAGTCCATTAAAGGTGCACTGTGCAACATTTTTGGTGGAGGGTTCGTCACCTGGAGATGTTATTGCTTTGTGTAGAATGTTCCACAGTAAAGATTAAACCTATCTCAAGTGACATGACTTTAGGCTACATTACAGGTCAGATCTGTGGAAAGGCAACCCTATTTTTTGCAACAGAAACACCTGTAATGAATAAATTCCAGGGAATTCCATGGAAACAAGCAGTGAAGAAAGACCCTCCACCAGAAAAGTTGCACAATGCACCTTTAACCCTCTCAGGCTCAAATTAAATTTTAGTAACAAGAAAAAAAATCTGATATTTGGGGAAAATGAGGTATATATGGGGTAGTAATATTACAATCCTGACTTTTTTTTGAGAGAGACCTTCACATCCAATGCGTTCTGTAATGTTCCAGATTTGCAGTATCGGTCCGGTGTGGTAAATTAACACTGAAGACTGAAAATTATATGAACGCTAACTTTATGTGTATACCACTTTTCATAACAACGAAAACATAAAGCACAGTGTAACAGCTTTACAGCGGCAGAACACATCAGTGCTCCAACAAACAATTTTTATCCTTTGAAAACAACAAAAGTACTTTGCACTTCTGACAGGCCGTTTGTGTGTAGCCATTCTTGCACAGTCTGCATCGTCCACATTTATCAGCACAGATGGGAAAAAAGGCTCCTGAGTTAAAAAAGCTCATAAAATATGGATTTGGAGTAAGTAGGTATTTAGTATTTAGCTGTTGCAAATCTGCAATGTCTGCCTGGAAAGGGTAAAGATTGATTGTCTTTCTCATTACCAAGCCATCTGTATAGTTTTACATGACTGAACTTGAAACTTCATCATTAAAATTCTATTGATAGCAAAATATTTTTAGTAAAACCTCTTCTCATGTCATCTTGGGTTTCAGATGGGACTTCTATCACCATACGCTCGTTCATCAGCCTGGAGGATATGCTAAAAATACTCAGGTGTACCGCTGGGTAACCACTATGGCTGTTATCACACCATTCATCCAATAGAGAAGATGGAGAGAGAAAAGGACAGATGAGCGAAGCCTAATTGGCACGACTCACCACTCTAGTGCAAATTCAATCAGGCCTGGGATAACATGCTTTCTCCATTGCACCCATCATCCTACTTAGACCACTGATTAACCCACTCCAACGAAGCCAGTATTATAGCCATCTCAAGGAAATGACTCCTCGTGACAGCTCCTCGTGATCTTTAATAAAAGGAGTGTGAGGACTTCAAATACTTCATACCTTGATCGAGTAGATTTTTAAACTTGTACTTGTAATGAATTATAATTCAAACCACGTAGTTGTATTTAGTTCCATTTTAGTACAAGCCCCATTGTTCCATTTCAGAATTGTCTGTTTTTTTCTACACCTGCAAACTCACATTAAAAGCGTTGCCTTCTGTTTTACACTTTTTATTTGATCAAGTTTTGTATAAAAGTGTGATCTAAAATACTTTTAATTTTGTTAAAAAGTAACTAGCAACTTGTGCTCTAAGTAGTACTTTTCATGCATGTTTTCCTTTTACTTAAAGTTGCACTATGTAACTTTTCTGGTGCAAGGTTTGCATTATCTGATTGTCTCCATGGAGATGTTATTGCTGTGCTTTGAAAGTTCCACAGTATATCATTAAACCTGTCTATTCCTGGAGACACGCAGATGATGCTACCATGCAAAGTATCATATGGAGGAAATCACACTAGGGAGAATTCGATCTAAAACTTCATCATCATTTACACACAAGAAACAACTTTAAACATTATTGCAACAAAATTATGGTGTTTTCTTCAAATCACAATGTCTGTGTATGACAGAGAAGTTTTGAGCCAAAGTATAAGATGGTTGCTAGGTAACAGTTATGGAATACCCTGATTACCTGATACCTCATGATTTACAACCAAGAAGTAAAATTTAAACCTAAAAAAATTGTCAGATTTGGGGAAAGAATTAAACTTTTTAGTAAAATTTTAACTATCATGATCTAAACTGTGCTTTAGTAAAATCCAATCCAACCTGTCATAGGCACTTTAACTTACTATTTCCGCAACATGCCGTGACCCATAGAGTGTACAAAAGTGAACTAAACGGGTGTGACGTCACTCACAGCGTCCGGCGTTACTCAATTGAGCTTGTGTTAACAGTTACAGGGCTGAATTTGGAGCCAGGCTCTATATTATCAATAGAATTTTTCAGATGAACAAAATAGCAGAAAAAATATTCACCAGGATCATGTAGAGAGGGTTAAGACGAACATTTTAAGATCAAAATGATGAGGCTGCAGTAACAGAGAGAGGAACGACAATATTCCAGTGTAAGTCAATGGGAGCCATGGTCTATGGAGCAACCGCATGCACTTACATAATAATTCCAGAAACAAATATGCAGAGGGTGCAACAGGTGCGGAAGGACACTACAAGTTGGTTCTTACCGGCACAGAATAAATTCAAGTATGATTATTAATAATGTGCTGTTCTCAAACGAAAGCAAAGACAGAAGGAACAAGAACAGGGAGAGACTGATTAAAACCTCCTTAATTCAGATCATGCTAATTGAGTTTTCTGGTGTTTTGTGGACAGCATATCAGGTGCGTTACAAGAGATGAGAAGAGGCTACCCTGTGACAAGCTAAATATAATCCTGCACAAAGGACATCTGGCAAGAAATGCATACACAATCGCTCTAAAGACTTTATTATGTTTGGATAGAATACACAGAGGTGGATAGTACTTTACTCAGTTGAATTTTTAAAGAAACTGTACTATTCAGCATGCAGCATAATTTTACTCCTACTTAAAGGTGAACTGTGTAACTTTTTGGTTGGGGTCTGTTACCTGCTTGTTCCTATGGATACATGATTGCTCTGCCTGGAATGTTCCACAGTATGACATTAAACAGCGCTAGAATACTTTTATTCAATTACAGGTGGTTTTATAGCTCAAAAATACCAAGAAAACAGGCATTCTGACTGTGAGCAGGGTCATCTCTCCGCAGAGCTGACATGTAATTTGGTCTGGTTTGGTCTCCATGATGATATAAAGCACAGGTGTCAAACATACGGCCCGGGGGCCAGATCCGGCCCTCCAAGACCTTTAATGTGGCCCTTGGGTGATTTTCTACTAAAATTTTTTAATTATATTTTCATTAAAAATATTGGTAATTTTCTGCGTCACTTAGCATAGCAGCGTTTCCAGTGTCTCTGTACGTGGCCCCTCCCACCAGAGCAGCACAAATGAAGACTTGTCTCTTTCCAAACGCTCTTAAAGGACGATCGTTTTGACTGTTGATCGTGACACCCTCATCAGAAAAATGTCAAAAATGAGAAAAGTGGAGCCGAGTGCAGGATTTTCCAAGAAAAACTGACTTATTCCTGTTTACATACAAGTTATTGTTAAAACATTGTGTTGAAATTGAATTTTTCTTCAAGTTTCAGGTTGTTCATAATATTATAATAAGAAAGAGTTCATCAATTAAAAAAGATTTCTGTAATAGATTTGTGTTTCTCTGCACAAATATTTGAAGTTATTGTTATTTTTGGGGTTTATATGACATGAGTTTTTTGATCCGGCCCCTTTGGGATCAAAGTCGGTTGAATACGGCCCCCGGACCAAAATGAGTTTGACACCCCTGATATAAAGGTTTAATACCATACTGTGAAACATTACAGACAAACCGATAACATCTCCATGAAGAAAAGCATTTTAGGGACCCTCTACCAGAAAAGTTAGTTCTTTAGGTAATATTTTTATTCAAGCAACAGTACTCTTACTTACGTACAAGCTTGTGCGTAAGTCTACAATGATAAAAGCTTTATGTTGACAATATGAAATGATTTGAACATTTGTGTTTCTTGCACTGCTTCATCAGATATGATTATTTTTTCTCATTTTGTTTATACTAAAATACCAGATTACCATCATATAATAATACCATTATTTAAAGCTTTGCCCATAAAATTGCATTAACTTCAAATTATAAATCAGATGTTACTTCAGCAGTTACTCTTACTTAAGTAGTTTTCCCAAATTCTTATTT